GGTCATGTGACCTTAACGTAACCGGACAGGAAAAGCCCCGCCGCCGCCGCCGCCGCCGCGCCGGAGACACCGACCGCGGCGGCAGCAGCAGCAGCAGCAGCGGCGAGAAGCAGAAGCGGCGGCGGGGAGGACAGCACGACCAAGGCTGCCCAGCGGCGCCTCCTCCACAAGCCCGCCGCAGCAGCACCGGCGACAGGTAAGCGCGCACCGCCTCCGCCTCCCGGGGCCGGTGCCCACGTGCCACCCCCAGCCCGGGCTCCGGGAAGGCGGAGAGGGGGCGGGGGCCACCGGAGCTCGCAAACGGTTCCGGCAGCGGCGGTGGCAACAAAGAAGACGAATGACCCCCGTCCCAAGGCTCCGGGTGAAGGCAGGCGGAGGGCCCGGGCCACACGGGGACCCGGTTCTGGGAAGCGAGGGCTGGGGCGTCCCGCGGGGGCGGTGGCGGCTGCGCCTGGCGCCGGGGCTCTGGCCGCCTGACAAAACCATCCCCCGGAGCCAGGCGGCGGCGAGTCGGCGGCGGCTCCATCCGGGGCCTTGCGGGAGGGGGAGGGGACGGAAGCCGAGAGGGCGGGCGGCGGATCGGAGGGAGGGAGGAAGGGGAGGGGGGCGATTCGCGTTCCGTTCCCCGTGGCCGGTCCCTCCCTTCCCGCCGCCACCGCGAAGTGCGTCCCGAGCGGCTGCGGTCGGTGAGCGTCCAGCGCTGGGGCCCTGAGAGGTGGGCCCGTCAGGTGCGTAATCCTTCCGACTCCTCGTCGCCGCCTCCTGCTGCTGCCGCCGCTTCTTCGGCGGCAAGGCCACGAGCTGCGGAAGTGGGTTTGGGGGAGGGGAAGAAGGAGGGAGGGGGAGGGGAGGGATCCGGTCCGACCGGAGCAGGCCCGGCCTCTCTGGCGCTTCTCCCAGCTGCAGCGGCTCCTACAGCTGCTGCCGCTACTGCTCCGGCTCCGCCTCCCCGCTCGCGGGCGGGGGCGCGCACGCGCGCTTCCGGCCTCCTCGGGTCTCGCGCTGTCTCCGGCTCTCGCGCGCGCTCATCCCCCTTTCCTCGTCTGGGCCACCCCCCGCCCCGGCGCCGGGGCTGTTGCGCCGGCCGGGGCGTTGCGCACGGCGTAGGCGTCGGCATTGTGTTAAACTCCGCGGGACTTGGGACGAGCGCGCGCGCGCGCACGCGGATCTCAGGGAAGCGGCGAGTGTGCGGCGCTGCTGGAGTGCGTCGCCCTCCCTCTCTTCCCTTCCCTCCTCGCCCCTCGGGGACGGGGGCGGGGCAGTCGAGACCGGAGGGGCCCTGTGGGCTCCGGCGCCGCCCCCGGCTGGGCCCCCGCCCCCTGGGCCGGGGTGGGGCGAGGCGGCCGTTGGGCGGCCGTCGGGCGGGCGACTCTCTGGCTTCTTTGGGCGCAGCCCTGCTTGCCCCTGGCTGCGGCTGCGTCTGCGGCAGAGGCCCTGGAGCGCGCTGGGCCTCGAGCTTCCGCCCGCCGTGCGATCTGCGCCTGCGATTAGGCCGGGACTAGCTCGGAGCTGCGCTATGGTTCCTGCTGCTTCACCCCGACCCGCTGGCCCGCACTGCCCGGCCGGGCTTTGGGAAGGGAAGGTTCGGGCACGGAGGCTGCTTCCCCGGGGTCGGAGTCGTGTTCTCCGCGTAGCGAAACCCCGAAACCATTAATTTTTAAACAAGGAAGCAAGGTTTTTGTCGCTTTTAGCTGGTAGTAAAGTAGCCAAAAGAGAAAGCAAGGGTGGGGCGCAGGCTAAGTGATTGGGCAGCGTGAAAATACAGTTGCTACTACGCCATTTACTGCAAGAACTTTCAACTACTCCAACTCCTAATTATGCCTTAGGGATATGGTCTAGGCTGTCAGCTGCCCCTCCCGACCGGTCTGCATTGTTCATTTGCTAGTTTATCATACAATGGGTCCACTTAAGGTGTGATCTCGATTTTATTAATTTAGAGGGCATTGTTTTAGTAGACTAAAGCATCAAGGGGTCGGGTTAGGGGCTCACTCCAGGGTGTTCTGGGTTGCTTACTTAAACCGGTTGCTTTGTTCTCTATGTTAGTGTAGACCATCCGTGTTCACAGTGAGGGAACACCAGGGCACTGTGTACATGTCTCTAGCGTTTTAGTGTGAGAGGCCTGAAATTTTAATAAAAAGAGCTAAGCCATTTTAATTTTCTTTGATTTATCACAAACCAAAATTAATCCTCAATGTAAATTTCATTTTGCGTTCTGAATGACCTTGTTATCTCCAAGATGTCTTCAAGTTTTGAAGAAGATAGTAGTTTATTGCTAATACCACGTATTCCCTTTATCTTAAAATGTACATTTCTCGGCTCGGCGCCTATAGCTCAACCGGCTAAGGCGCCAGCCACGTA